GATAGAAGATAGTGACACGTTGGGAACACATACTGGGTCTATCTTTTATGTCTATGCAACTTGCCACCTTCTGTCATACCGACGAATTGTAGCGACACAACATGGGTTGCGTGGTGGGGAGGGAGAGGGGAAGGGGGCAGGGGTGGGGCGGGAGGGGGGTGGGGCGCGCGCAGCGCGCCGTGCTAAACGCACTTGCAACTTACACATAAACCAAACTTATTTTCTTCATAACTTTTTAACAAACAATGAGCGACGGGAATGGGCAATGACCTTGACCTCCTTGGGGGTCAAGGTCAACATCAAGGTCAAACGGAAGTTGATTGGCGGGTGCTATGTAAAGGGAAATATTTACCCACGCGCCTAAGGCACGTCGAAGGGACGTGATGTAGACAATGGAAAGCAGTGTGGAGTCACTCCCAAGCTTTATTGGTTTTACACCGCACGTAGTTACGGTAACGGAATTTAAGTTCGAGAGTCGCCCTCGCGACACGGTACGACAATAATTATCTCGTCTGAGCGAGCGAGCGCGCACGAGGGTTCTCGCGAGTTAGAGCGAGACAGCTCTATTGCGATTAGCCCGTCTAAGCGAGTGAGAGCGTTCTTGGTCTCGCGAGTTAGAGCGAAACGGCGCTCCGTATTGGCGCGGGCCCGCGCGGGATGAACACGGCAGCCTGCCCGGGTACTCGGTAGTTTGGTCTCACCAAATTCCGACGACCACCCAGGCCTTGAGGTTCGTCCTCCGGAGCTCGTGATGCTGACGCGTTTTTCCGCCGATCTCGGGCCTTTGCGCGGTCCTTGCGAGCTGCACTCAATGCGCCAGGTCTTCGAGAGGGCTTCGGCGAGTTTGTCGGGCCAGTCAATCCGCGGAATGCTCCGAGAGTCGACCGTCGATGTCCGCATCCACGTGGGGCCGATGAGTCGCGACAAAGATAGAGTTGAGAATTGAAGAGCGAGGCGTGCTTTTCACTTGAAAGCTTTTAACGTTCTGATCGTGGACTGCTTCGTTCGTTACGGCGGTTTCGAGAAGGGGACCGTACCCGCGAGCCAATCACGATACCTAACGCAGATCGCTTCGATGTCTGTTTACGCTTTTTCGGAGCGTTTGATCGAGCGCGATCGGAATGTTTGTCGGAGCGAAATCCAGGCGAGAGCCCGATCGCCGCGACGGGATGGCGCTACGGCCTCCGTTTGCCGCGGTCGACGGAATCTCCACGCTGAATCCGCTACATAACCGCCCGCCTCGAAACGCTAGTTTCGAAATAACTTCGCAGAAAGAACAGTAAAATCCGAGAATCTGTTGGTTGAGATCCGAATTGGTCGCGAAAATAAAAGTTGGAATTATGAGACCTTGAATGAACCGACAGCTGTTGCTTGTTTGACAAGACTGTCGATCTTCAACCAAACAGGCTTGGCGGTTTGAGGCGTGAACAAGGTTTTTTTTGTTGACCTGACATTTAATGCCGCGTCGCCCGCCGTGACGGAGCGCGGCATGAAACGAGCGTCAATTTCCTTACGGAGTTCGTATACATTTGAATCGCAAAGAAATTCTGAAAACACTAAGAGAATGATTGAATTCGCACGATGCCATTAGACTAAAGACGATTTAACAAGAGAGATTCGCTTACCACTTGCTCTTAGGCTATCGAACCGTAGCTAAGTTAATACAGTTTTTTACTTAAACTAGAGAACTTGACTGAGGGTTTTCTGTCGAGGCATTATTGTGACTCTGCCCTTCGTCGAGCTGAGGCTCGGTATCGATCGGAAGGATGCACAGTTTCACTAGAGGTCGTTTTAACTCCGATTGCGCGGTTCGCACGGACACTACACGAACAAGTTTGTCAGCACCCGCGTGACACTGAGTGACTCGTCCGAGCTCCCACTTGCACGGTGGTAGAAGCGGATTCTTTAGAAGCACCATTGTTCCGATTTTGATTGAGGGTTGCTGTGTACGCCACTTTCCTCTTTGTTGCAGAGTGTTGACGTAGGCGGATTGCCATAATTGCCAAAATCGTTCCGTGATTTGACGGACAAGTTGCCAGCGGAGCAACCGATTCTCGGATAGAGACAGAACGGAGGGTTCGGGAGGGACGGTTAAAGCGGACCCGATCAAAAAATGACCCGGAGTGAGCGGCTCGTAATCATCGAGAGTGTCATTTAACGGTCCGATTGGCCTCGAGTTAAGACATGCTTCTATTCGGCATAAAAGCGTTGTGAATTCCTCGAAGGTGGGCGTATGAGATCCGAGTACGCGCCGAAGGTGATGCTTTACGCTGCGAACTCCCGCCTCCCACAATCCTCCGAAGTGAGGTGCATGCGGCGGGATAAATTTCCAGGAAATTTTGTCCGCCGCTGTCTTGTTTAAAAACTCAGGATTCGTTACGGCGCACAGTGGGGCGAAACCTCTAAAAATTGGTCAATGGACGGAAAAAAAAGTTGTATAACTCTCTAGTTGAAGCATATTTTCGGTAAATATTCACTATAGGGGAGTCAGCTCCGATGACCTTGACCTTGACATATGTTGTCAAGGTTACCCCCCTGAGTAACGCTCAGAAGGTTTTAGCCGTCGCTCGTTGTTTGTTAAAAAGTTATTAAAAAACAATGTCGACCAATTATATGTAATTTTCAGACACAAATATTAAAAATTTTGAAAAATGGAGCCCCCCTCCCGCAGGGGGGCGGAACATACTGTCTCCACGCATGTACTTCCGCCGTTGTACTGTTCCACATGGGTATGCGACTTTCCACGTGAAGCGAGATCCACTCCACACCTCGGACATAGTTTGGGTAGGGTTATATTTTAACGAGGTGGAGCCCCCCCCCGCAGAGGGAGCGGAACATACTGTCTCCACGCATGGTTTTAGCCGTCGCTCGCTGTTCGTAAAAAAGTTATTAAAAAAACAATGTCGACCAATTATATGTAATTTTCAGACACAAATATTAAAAATTTTGAAAAATGTTTTAAACAAAAGTTGTAGATCTCTTTGAAATATACATTTTATGTCCTATTCATTTTTACTGTGCGAGTAATAGTTTTCGAAAAAAATGATGGACTCTAAATCTTATATCTCTCCTCCCATCTCCATCTGTCGTAC